TATATATATATATATATATATATATATATATAAATAAAAATAAAGATTATAAAAAAAAAACATCCTTATTTTTCAAAGTTTAAACGATTTTATTTTTTATTTGTTGTTGTTGTTGTTGTTGTCGTCTTTTTATATTTCGTCGTCGTTCTGACTGAATTCGTTTACTCTTAACGTGAAATAGATCTTTGATTATTGTTTGTTTGTTTTTTTTTTGTTTTTCAATGATCATAACAAAAAATAATATTACATGATTAGATTTAACCAGTTAAGCGTGTTTAACGATTATATACGTCATGGAGATGTGGCAAAATTTTGTTTTATGACGTTTATATCCGTCATGACGGATATAAAAGTTTGTTACAATTTGATGATTTAAAATTGTAATTTTGACGTAAAATTAATAAATTATATTCGTAAATTTTCATATGTTTTAAAATGTTTAGAGATGAAAAAAGAAAACAAAGTCAAGAATAAATTTCTAATTTGTTTATAAATATTCGATATTTTCTTTAATTATTTTCGTTTATTATATATTCAATATATGTTCATATTAAGAAACTGTGTGTGTTTCACATTACTAACAAAATTGTTCATTTACCAAAATAAAATTGTCTTTTTGACTATCCAATATTTTAACAGCAGCGCCACTTACTCTGTGTTTGACGACTATAACCGTCATTTGCTTGATTATCGTGACACACACCAGAGCGCGCACTCTGCGCACAGATCGCCACACTTTTAACTGGTTAAACAAAAAAACAAAAAAAAAAAGATAGAAAGTACGATATTGAATTAAAACATTTTACAAAAAGAAATGAAAAGTAAAAAGTAAAAGATAAAAAAAATTAAAAAAAGGAAGAACAGCAGCACGTTGATTATGCACAATGATTATTCTTCTCGTGTTTTTAGTAAAAGCGCATGAATTAATAATAATAATAATAAAAAAAAAAATAATAATAATAATGCTTATTACGCGAGTGTTTTGAAATTTTCTTATGAAAAGCGACATATCATTTTTGATCTTTCAGATCCAACTTCTTCTCCATTTTTTTTTTTTTGGTGACAATTAGAGAATTCGTAAATTTAGTAAGAAAGCGCACTTCTTCTCCATTTTAACTTTCCTTCTCGCTAGGCCCATGGTAACAATAAATGATATAATATTCCTTGGATCATCTTCTTCATCTTTATCTCCTTATTATTATTATTATTATTATAATAATAATAATTATTATGGAAAAAATTCATGCACAGTGCACGTATCACCAACAATTCATAGAATACTTTTCATTTTGGTCCTCTTTCCGTCGAATGGATTTCATTATTTTTTCAAAGATTTATGATTCATTTTTTTTTTTGCTTCCCTCTCTCTCTCTCTCTGTCTCACAATAATATAATTGTATTTCTTTCTTTTTCTCTCTCTCTTTTTTTTTTTTATACAGGAGCAAATACGACAGTCACGACGACGCGTAAATGTATCGCAAATTTCTATCCTTCGCAATTGACACGTAAAACAAAAGCAACGACAAGAAGACGTACGATGACAACAAATAAGTTGCATTGGCATTTTGTAATGAAAGATTCATACGTCTTATATTTATCAGTCACATTTTGTCATCCGTTAATTCGAGGAACTGAGCATAAAAGTCTCGCGTACACTCTCCTTTGTTATTAAATACAAATTTGTAGTAACTCCCATCGGCACATATAACTGCATACACATATACATAAACAAATAAAGAATGAAAGGATGAAAAATAAATCAATTTTATCATTTAAAATATAAATTTTCAAATTTATCACACATGATCAATACCAACCTATAATACTATTACTGCCAGTACCAAATGCGCACATGCATTGAGGACCACCTGGAACTTGAAATTTGCAAAAACTCCAGCTCGAACTAAAATACTTTGGTAAAAAAGTAGCTGATGCTAAACTAGATTGACGATTCAATTTCTGATCCTCTACTGCAAATACATGTACCGTGCCATGGTCACTCGCAACGCATAACCACGTCGAATCGTGATTGAAATTTATGCTGGAAAATAACATTTTGGTATATTCAAATATAACAAATTATCATTTAAATTATTCTTAAACTATTTACCAGTATATATTAGCATGATTAGCTCCTCTTCGTAATTCATTGATCATATTACCGCTCTGTGTATCGAATACCCTTATCAGAGTACCCTTTTCAGAAGCTGTAGCAAGTCGAGTACCTTGTAGATTTAAAGCTATGCATGATAATGGTGTCTCGTGTGCTTCTATGTTTAAAGGTTGTTTTTCTGTGTTTGCTAGGTCTATAACTGCAATAGAAAAAAAAAACGATCATACAATTGAATGTGTTCTTTTTATAATTTAATATAATAATTTACCTTGAACATGACCATTTTTACGTCCTGGGAATGCAAGCAAAGAATTGTTACTGTTCGGACACAAAACGCATAATCCTCTTGGATTGGGATTAGTTTCAAATACATGCAATTGCTGTGGGTTTTGCGTAAAAGTATAAACCTTTATAACACCTTCTAATATTACTACTATCCTATCTCTTCTTAATTTAACACCTTTTACAGGTGCATTAAATTCCAGTGTGATAGCTGGTGCTTTCTTTAAATCGTCCCATATAATAACTGCAAACATCAAATAGATTATATTAATTGGATTTTTTTTATTTTTAATACTGCATACATAATGTACAAAATATTACCTTTGTTAACAGGATACATTGGCTTTGGCCCACCACCAACGAGAGCTAAATAATTACATCTAAATAACATTTCAACATAACCAAGACCACCATCATTAAAATCATGCCGTTCTTTTTCCTTTCCTTTCAGAGGATCGCAATTGTATACTCTATAACCATTTTCTGTACCGCAAACGAAGCATCCTGTAAAAATATCAAAGTTGATATTAATAAGGGGAATATTCTTATCTTCTCATTACAGATATGTGTTCCATATATATATATATACCCTATTTTATGGATACTCATTTAACTAACACATTTACAATGTTCATTGATACTTTAACTACTACATGTAAATATAGTGATTACTTTAATAAAGAAACATACTTTGGTATGAAAGATATAGAAAATTTATCAGAAACACTTTGACTATGTATACAATGTTGTTCTTAAAGTTCAAAGGCATGCATGATCTCATATGAAAGTAAATGAATGCATACTGTACTTTATCATTTGATAAATGCATTATATATTTGTAAAGTATGCTGAGACATAGAAATGATAATAATAAAAATCATAGTAAATATAACAATAATAAAAATGAAGGAATTTTTGAAGGAAAGTGCATGTCAATATGATAAAAGAATGAGGTTAAGTAAAACATAATGAAGCATAATAAGATAAAATCTGAATTAATATGCGTGAAATATATTGTCGGTATTAATTTTATGAGGTTAAGGACAAAAATAACTCGATTAGTGGGCAAGATTCCAACCGGGATGAGAATAAATGAAAGAAAGAAAACATTGTAAGTTTACTAGGTTAGAAGTGACAGCAAGAGCGAGAGCGAGAGAGAAAGAGAGAGAGAGAGAGAGAGAGAGAGAGAGAGAAAGAAAAAAAGAAAGAGAGATAGAAAAAGAAAGAGATAAAAATAAATAAATTTGACAGTGGCATGGCAGCGCTGTCAAAATGTGGCGCACTAGGTCACATACCTTGATCTTGATTGAAGCCAGCGTAAAGCAGACCATTGCCATGTGGATTTCCCGTAGTTAAATTCATCGTCAATTAAATACTTTTCTTATACATTCATACGTATCGTCCGATTAAACGTGTTAAATTAATCACATATTCGCCGGTAATGGCCGGCAACAGCACACAACGTTAACTGCCGATTAAATACTGCCACCATCTTTGCGCATGCCTACGAAGCTACCCACTATAGTCGATCAGCTGATTCGATCTTTAACCTATCGTTCTTTACTCATCGACCAATCAGAGCGATGGAATAGTTCTCATAATATTTAGTGCGTGTTTTACGATATATATCGACTTTTCAAACATATTTATATATATTTTGATCAAATATAATTTCATATAATTATTAATAAATATATTTTATATATATATATTATAATATGACAGTATTTATTTATTGTGAAATAAGTTGAATTTCGACGATGTTTCTATCAATCGTTTGACCAATTGTTTATCTTAGAGAGGTTAGTTTACAAATAATAATAAAAAGAAGAATAAAACATGCGTTTTTTAAATAATTTTTTAACAACGAGATGTATACACACGTGTACACCATTATTAAGAGAAAAACCGACAAATTTAAAAGGCAAAAAACATAGTTCACAATTGTGGTTAGAAAGACAATTACGTGATCCTTATGTTGAAAAAGCTAAACAAGAGAACTACAGATGTAGAAGTGCTTTTAAATTAATAGAAATCAATGACAGAAAAAAGATATTTAATTTCGGAGATACCGTTGTAGATTGTGGTGCTTCTCCTGGTAGCTGGACACAGGTTGCTGTTAATTTAACCAATGCCAATGGTAAAAAGGATGGTCCTGTTGGTAAAGTTATTGGAATAGATAAACTTCCAATATATCCTATAGAAGGTGCAACTGTTATTGGACAGATGGATTTTACTAAATCAGAGGCACGCCAAAAGTTGCATGAATTATTAAACCAAACTAAAGCCAATGTTGTTTTATCCGACATGGCACCTAACGCTACAGGTGTACGAGAACTGGATCATGAAAATATAATGAAATTGGCATATTGCGCTTTAAAATTTGCTCTTCAAGTTTTATGTAAAGATGGTGTATTTGTTACTAAAATTTGGGATGGATCTCAGACGACACAATTCTATAAAGATTTAAATAAATTTTATACAAACATTAAAATGTTTAGACCTAATGCAACGCGCAGTGAATCCAGTGAAACATATCTAATAGCTAAAGGTTTCAAAGGATTAAAAGTATCATCTCTCCAATAGTTGAAATAATAAAACATGGTGTGGATATTTAAGGAAATGATAGAACAAAACAGCAATGATTCTTTGTTCGAATAATATCGTCTTATATCTTTTTATATGCAATTGTTTCTTCTACGCATCGATACAATTGATTGTATTCTTAAAGAAATACATTTAGTTTACAATAAACGTATGATAGAATATATATAATATACATTGTTTATATATATATATATATATATTTAGCCATAAATAATACAATAATTGGTTCAAATACAATTACAATTAATACGCATTATGACAGTGGTTTTTCTTCTTCTTCTTCTTCTTCTTCTTTTGTTGTTCATTCGTTATTTAATACCATCTATGTAATATATACACAATTCTCTTAATTAATTTAATATTTACATAAATTGGCATATAATAATAGATAGAAAAAAAAAAAAAAAAAAAAAGAAAAACAACATTACACACCACATTTAAAAACGTACATAAAAAAACAAAAATGTCATCGACCCTATTTTTCCTAAAGTCGAAATTGTCCGAATTTTTTGTTTTATCGTACGTTTTATCTATCGCACGTAAAAAAAAAAAAAAAAAACGAGAGAACATAGCCATATATACGGTTGAACATTATTTAAAATTAATAATCTAGCATTAATTTGTCTGCTGATACACTCCTACTGTAGTATCATTTGTATAGGACTAACTGTGTCATCGTGTATGTATGCGTTTGCTATTTTCTTATTTATTGTAAAAAAAAAAAAAAATACATTGTACGTGTATCGTGTAACGATTAATGAATAATAATTAATACCGACGTACTGGGAGGACAAGGCGTAACGACGTCGAAGAATTGTCAATTTTAATGACAATCATTTCGAGACGATATTTTGAAATACTATTTAAAGGAAGGACCGTCGCGTTTTGTTGAGTATCTTTGTTTAACATCGATTATAACATTCAAAATACATTGACATTACATCATATACGTTCATTATTTAAATCTGTACAATTTTCTCATGTGTAAAATTCATCTATCTCTCTTTTTATAATATCGTGTAAAGTTGTAGTACAAAACGATGATATTTATTACAAATACAATTTAATTAAACGCAATTATAATTGTATATAATAGGTAGTGTTGTCGTTTGTTTTTTTTTTAATTATTATTATTATTATTATTATCGTTTCATAGCGTGAGACGATGTTAATATATACGTTAGTGTGCGTGCCTATTTCACATACAACTGTGTAGCCCAATTTTTTGGATGCATAAACGCACGCTTTTTAGGCCGACAGTCTCACGAGTTCGAGTTTTATTTATGATCTTGCGAAAATATCTAATCGAAAGTATCGAATGTATGTAAATAGTAAGAAATTTTTGATTTAAATTGAAGAAACAAAAAAAAAATTGTTTACAATATATCAATGTACGGCGTTGTTCAATTGTAGAACATTTCAATTTCATTTGAAATTAAGAGATCATCGTTTTTCATTTAACATTTGTATAATAAAAACGATTATATATTCTTAATGATTATTTATTATTCTTATACAAACAATACTAATGACCTTCATAATAATTAAATAATATGAGACACGTGTTGTATCATGTGACCGTTTCAGGAACATTATTCGATCGATTGCAACAATTTATTTTGTAGACATGATTGCAATCAACACGTTTATACGAAGGTTTAAATAAATACGACGAACTATTACTCGAACTCGCGCTAATATTTCTTAATATTATTATTATTATTATTATTATTATTATTACTAATGTTCTTTTTTTTTTTGTTTTATTTCTATTTTCTTCTTCTTTCGATCGAGATCGATTTAATTTGAAAATTCAAACGGGTTCGTCGTCTTACCGAAGAGGACTTCTTTTTTTTTTTCTTATTTTCCTTTTACTCTCGTTAACTTACTAATTATTATTATTATTATTATTATTATTATTCGTTATATAATATTACTTATTCGCAAAATGTATCGATTAGAAATAATAATCGTTTCTTCGTATCAAAATTGTAATATAATTTGTAACGATTTTCAAAAACATATTTCGTACACACGCAAAGTTTTCATCGTGTGTTCGTCAATTCGAACAAATCACAAACGAAACGAATTTATTTCAAAGATTCTCTCATTCTCTTGACCCTTTTTTAATTAATACATAAATAAATATTAAAAAAAAAACAAAGATTCATCCTGATAAGTTTAGATAACGAATTCCTTTTTTTTTTGTTCTTTTAGAAAATATTCAAAGATTACTTCAAACACTTTCTTCCACTTCTTTTCTCTTTTATTAGTTTCTAGTTTCTCTTTTTATAAAATTGGTTACAATAACGATTGGTATATTACGTTATTACACCATGACATAATAATTTCTCTCTCTTTTTTTTCTATACGGTTAGATTTGCAATACGTTTTTTGTTTTTTGTTTATTCCTGTTACAAACGTTCTACCCAATGTCAGTTTTAAATCTGATTAGAAAGTGAAACACGATTACTATGAACCCTAGTTATAGATACTTAACATCGTTTGAAAACTAATGTCGACTAAACTAAAGTAGAAAATATTCATTCCAATGAATATTTAAACAAATAATCTGTTTCATTAATTTCACGAGTAAGAAAAAAAACAAAAAACAATACCTCAATCAATTTACTGTAATATTCATCTGTCAAAATTGTTGAATAATTTTTTTGTGTAAAAACCAAATTTTCGTTTAGATCATCAAAGATTTGTTCGGTACGATAATATAACAAAAAAAAAAAAAAAGAAAAAAAAAAGAAGAAAACTAACATGTCTGCCAAAAAGATAAGAGTGTTCCCAATCGCGTATCACACGTTTTTAGCAAACGACAGGTTATTTCTTTCAAACCCCATTGTTTTATTTGGCACAGTTTCAAAAGATACATAGATAAATAGAAAAAAAGAGAGAGAGAGAGAGAGAAAGAAATACACAGACAAGAGAGTTGAGAATCCTCACGACGACAGATCCAAGAGATTCGATTTAATAATCGAATCGTCATTAATAATAGTTCAAGTTGTTTTAAAGTTTCTCTTAAACTTTCAAATAAATCAGCGAAGTACGTCAACAACGACGTATTTGATAGCCCAACCAACGGCTAACTCAATCATGCGAATCCATTTTGTTTAGATGGATATAATTAATATTTAACCCTACGACGAGATGATACTCTGACATAATCATTTCTATAACCTCTATCCATGATGGTTGGTGTCGAACGAGAACCACCTTGACCTATTGAGAATAAATTAGGTGAAATCCTCGTTAATGGTAGTGGTGGTGGTGGTGGTGCTTTAGTTCTATATAAATACATTGGCCTTGGTTTTTGTCTTTGAACTACAACAACTGAACGATGCCTTTCATTATCTTCCTGTTGTTGTTGTTGTTGTTGTTCTTCTTCTTCTTCTGGCCTATTTATTCTCCAACCAATTGGTGTCCTAGAGTATGATGATTTTTGATGAAAATTTGGTATGCTACTTTTTGTACTGGTTGTACTAATATATGGAGGATTATTATTATCATTATCATCATCCTCTTCTTCGAAAATATTACGATGTTGATGATGTCCATCTTTGTAATCTTGATTATGTATACTGTTGATCTCATCTGATGGAAATTTAACGTAATTTTGTGACGATCTTACGTCAAAATTAGGTGAACCTTCTAAATCTAAGATATTTCGCGTACTAAAACTATTGCTAGTTTTAACAGAATCCTCTGTTTCTTTTATCGTTGCTTCCAAGTAACGATTGTCAAAATGAGGATCGTAAAGTAGCGATTCTGACGATGAAGGTTCAGCCAAAAGTTCGACGTTCCTCAAATCTGTTGGATTTTTGTCAGTTTCTTCTTCTTCAATGAATTTTATCCTACTTACCTGTTGTTTAATATTTTCCTTTGTACTCGTTGATACAATAGTTGTCGTAGGTATTTCTTCAGTTGGAAATATTATTTTAGTTTTAGTATCATGTATCTTTTCAGATTCAAAATGTTCATTGACATTTTCATCATCGTTGATCTTCGTATTGTTTAATTTAGTATTGTTACCAATTTTTGTAGGATTGTTAACATTTAACAATGTTGTTTCTATGATAACGTCATCCTTGATCGTAGCTTCGCTAGAAATTTTACTATCATGTTCGTCCATATTGGAAATGCTATGATTAAAACGAATAGCAATTTCATCTGACGATGAATCAAATGTATAATTGACATTTTTCATATTAGAATCAATCATAGGTTCTACATTTGTCTCATGATTTTCATTCAAATGTAATCTATCCAAATTTGTCACAGGTATGGTGATCCCAGCTTCGCCATGTTTCAAAATTTCACCCTCAAGTTCGGTTAATTCATCTTCAATAGGATTATCAGTTGGATCAACGTAATCGTCCTCTTCTTCAACAATTTCTCCCTCGTCAACAGTTTCATCTTCATAAGTTGTTTCCCGTTCATCGTCATCCGCCATTTTCATTCCAGATGATTCCGAATTGTTTCCATTATTATCAACTACTTTATCATCAAAGTTTGACAAATTTTCCGATAATTTTTTCAACGAATTCGAATTGGACTCGTTGATGACTTGATCCATATTGTGATTGGTCGAATTTATTGATTCGGTCATACGTATGATCACGTGACCAGCTGTAGTAACATTAGATAAATCATCGCCATCTTCTTTTTCGAAAGAAGAAGAAGAAGATGATGATGATGATGATGATGATGATTCGATTTGTGGTTGTTTAGTTGGTGTTAAAAGAAATACCAACGTTGGTGTTATATTACTAACGTTCATCGACAATACTTCTTTTAATTTGGTATCATCATTTATAACCTCACTTTCGTTGATATTATTTTTAACGTTGGTTACATTCAATATGGCGGCTTTTAGATTTATCGGAATTTTATAATCGACTATTTCCGAAAAACCACTACTTCCGTTAGTTTCATCGACAAATTCAGCAACCGGGACTATTTCTTCAGATTTTTTGCTGTCCTTGTTTATAGGATTGTTTTGATGATTAATATTATCGAGTAATATTAATGGTTTTATTTCTTCTTCATCTAATTTGTGTTGGTCTTCTTCATTTTCTGTTGTAGTCGTCTCGATTTTAGCTTCATAAATGGTAACCGTCGTCTCCTTTGGGGGTTCCTAAGAAAGGTAGCATAGGTGGTTGTGTAATTTTTTTGTTACAATAAATAAGATATTATTATTGTTTATTATAGAATTCGTGAAGAAAATTGAATCATTGAACCCTGCAATTTGATTTATTCAAAATTTATTCAACTTTCTCACGAATTCATAGTTTATTTTTGAAATCAAGGTATATATATATATATATTTATTTAATCCCACAATTATTATTAATTATTATTATTATTATTATTATTAATATTAATATTATTATTATTGATATACACACAATTGTCGGGATGATACGCTAAAATATTAAATATTTCTATTTTTGTCATGTATTATATTTATACTTATGTACAATTATAATGATATATATATGTATATCATTATATATATATAGATATGTATAAACAATGAGTTACTTGACTCGTCTCTGATTATTTTAACAAAACACACACACATAAAAAAAAAAAAAGCAAATCTAATTAACATAAGAATTAAACAAAAATAATTAATTTGTTTAAAATCGTTACAATTGACTAGATAACAAAATATTTGTTGTTGTTGTTGTTGTTTTTTTTCTTTTTTTCTTTTTTTTTCTTTTTTACGATATAATATAATTATTATTTATGATAGAAAGGACACAATTTTTTTTTTTATTATTGACAAGTGAAAAATAATACGACTGATTATAATGATGATAAAATAATGACGTCACGCGTTCATTGGAAAGACCAATTTAAATTAATTCATTAAATCAAATTATTTATTCCAAATCACAGATACTTTTTTTTTTGTTTTTGTTTTTTTTTTCAGAATATTGCAATTTTTCTAGAATGACACTAATTTCTTTCTTTTATTAACTGGTTTACTCAAAGGACACAGGTACTTAACGTTTTATTTTTTTTTTTTTTAAATTAATTTCTCTAAACAAACGAACTATTACGTAAAATAAAAAAAAAAAAAACATAGATAAATAATAATTAGTAAATCACGCGACTTTTGAATAAAAACGGAAGATAAAAAAAAAAAAAAAAAGAAAAAGAACAAGAAAAGTCCAATTAAAATAATAAGTTAGTTACAAATAATTAAGTTAATTATTAACTAAAATAAAAAAAATTGACTAATAAAAAAAAAAAAAAAGAAATAAAAATTGCAATTAAATAAAAATTAACTATGATCATCATCATTCTCGTGTAAACCAGTAATCAATTCCAAATATGGTAAATCTCCGACCCTTACATTAGTCCTATCATCCTCGTTCTTGATTGGTTGTTGATTATTAACAGAAGACATAACAGGATCATCGGCAACAGCATCTGGTGATGATGGTGGGGGTAAAGGTATACCTAACAATGGTATACTCAATTGCAATGGACCTGACGATTGTTTTTGATTTGGTATCTTTTCTTCTTCCCCGTTACTGCTGCTGGCAAATCTTTGCAAATACATTGCACTGACGCGTTTCAATAAAAAATCAAATTGCGCCTCGTGATCAATTTTGACATCCTTGACGCATCTGTCCATGGTATCTGCGCGATAACCTTCGGCACAATCGATGCGCGTAGGCGCGAAAAAAATACTTTTCGGAGTGATCTTTCTCAAAATATTAGCCGAATCTAAACTCGATTGATCACCCGCTTGTGCATCGACCAATAACCAAGCTTCCCAGGTTAATTCGCTTGGCGATGAAGATGATGACGATGAAGAAGATGACGAAGTTCCACGTGATCTTTTTCTCGATGATGATGATGTTTCTTCTCCTTCTTCTTCTTCTTCAACAGATGATGACGATGATGATGACAATAAAGATGGTAATGATGATAATTTATCGTTGGATAAATTCTTGGATCTCGATGGTGCCAGTTCACAATACCTGGCTAATCCAATCAGGAAGAGAATAAATAATAATGATCTTAACGTCATCATTTTTTCCTCCGATGTGTTGTACTCCTCCTAACAACAACAACGGGTTTCAATTTAATCTCTTTTTGAATTTGTGTTTGTGTGTGTGTGTATTTTTTTTTTTTTTAATCTTTATTGGGTGCTTTTCTTTCTTTTATTTGTTTATTTTCTTGTTTTATCTTTTTTTTTTTCTTTTGATATGTGACGTGACCCAACCTCGTCACCTTCCTCTTGACGCTCGTCGCATTGGAATTATCTGTAAAATCAAACGAGAATATAAATATTAGTTATATTGCATTAAAAAAAAATAAATAAAATGAAAAAAAGAACATGAAAACAATAGAATGCAGGAAGCTGATCGTTGTCGAGTTTGTTTTTTTTATGGAAAAATATTTGTTTCATAACCTAATTTCAATTGTAATTTGATGATAACCTTTTTTGGTATTTTTTTTTTTTCTTATTAGATGTAGTTTATAAATAAAATTAAACACAAAAGAAAGGATTATTAATAAAATTTAGATCGTTAACAAATAATTAATATGTTATGTTAATAATAACATTTATATTATAACCAAATTCCAATTGTAATATGGCGGTAACTTATTTTTCCCTTATAACATATTTTATAAAAAAAAAAAAAATAAAAAAGAAGCAATTATAGAAGAATTATTATATTATTAACAAATAATTATTGCACTATTTTATTAATAAAATTTATATCATTAACAAATAATTAATATATTATGTTAATAATAACATTTTTATTATAACCTAATTCCAATTGTAATATGGCGCTAACTGTTTTTCCCCTATAACATAGTTTATAAAAAAAAAAAATAAAGAAACAATTATTAATAAAATTTATATCATAAATAAGTAGTTTTTGCACCATTTTAATAATAAAATTTATATCATTAGCAAATAATTAATATATCATATTAATAATCAAATTTATATCATAACCTAATTCCAATTGTAATATGGCGGTAACTGTTTTTCCCCTATAGCATAGTTTATAAAAAAAAAAAAAATAAAGAAACAATTATTAATAAAATTTATATTAAATTTTATTCAATAATTATTATACACCATTTATGGTATTTTTATATTAATAAATAATTATTACACAATTTTACTAATAACATTTCTAACCTAACCTAATTCCACAATTGTAACAGTAACCTGTTGACAGTAACATTTTTTCCCCCTATACTTCCCCTATAACACATTATAAAAAATCAAACAAATACTTGAACACATTAAACACATGAATGAAATTTCTAACCTAACCTAATTCCACAATTGTAACAGTAACCTATTGACAGTAATATTTTTCCCCTATATATAACACATTATAAAAAATCAAACAAATATTTGAACACAACATTGAACACATGGAATTTTAATTAGAAAATTTGTTGTATTATTCAATTGAAAAGTTTACAAATAAATTTTGTCTTTTTCATTTCGTTTCGTTTTAATATAAACGTGAATGTGAGATAAAGCTCTCTATGTGATAATGTGTGTGATTGTGTGAGATAGTGAAGGATCCCAAAAACAAACAAATTGGTAAGCTAAACCGTTTGATGATCGTTTGGTTTAACTGAACAAACGGACAACGGTTAATTAATTGATTAATTAAGTCGTATTCATTCTGAACCAAGAGTTTGAACGAATAAAACGTTTCGTATGTTCCGTTGTTCCGTAAGTGAATGTAAATTACCTGCTGCTCGTCCTCACGGAATTCGACACGGAACAAAACTCCTATCCCCCATCATGACTCTTATTTGTTCATTGAATCTTAAGAGGTGGTTAGGGTAAGGGTGAGGAGGGGAGTTTAAAGGTTACCTTCATGGTTTATTATTTCTCATTTCACGCTATCATCTAGCTCTTTCTCTTTCTACTTATTCGTGCAATTCATTTTGGCGAATTAATTTCTTTTTCTCTATTATTTTAAATATTATTTTATGTTTTTTTTTTAAATCAATTGAATTGTAAGAAAAAAAAAAAATTGAAAAATAGAAGGAAATTAAATAAGGTGAATATTAGGGTTGTTATTTTTTTGGGAGGTTTTTTTTTTTAACCCTTGAAAATAATACAATTAAATAATTTTAATATATGTGAAATTTAATAAAATATTGGACAATTTTTAAATAGAATTTTTATTTTTATTTTTATTTTTATTTTTATTTTTATTTTCAAATAGAATTTTTATTTTTATTTATATATATATATTTTTTTAATTAGAATTTTTATTTTTTTTTTTATTTTTAAATAGAATTTTTATTTTTATTTATATATATATTTTTAATTAGAGTTTTTATTTTTATTTTTATTTATATTTTTATTTTTATTTTTATTTTTATTTTAAAATAGAATTTTAATTTTTTTTTTTTTAATAGAATTTTTATTTTTTTATTTTTTTTATTTTGTATTTCGTTTTTCGAAGAACCATGCACGTAATTTTTAAATACACGAATGCAACAAAATTTCATCTATTATTTTAAATATTATATATATATATTTTTTTTTCTATAACATTTTTTTTTCTAAATTTAATTTAAATTTAAACGAAAATGAAATAAAACACAATAAAAAAAAAAAAATAAAATAAGAAGAATATTAGGATTGTAACTTATTGTTTTATTTTTGTAATCCTTCGAAATAATACAATTAAATAATTTTCATAGATGAAATGTAAATAAAATCAAACTGTGGAAACTGTGGAAAATTTGTAAATAGTATTTTCTTTTTTTTTTTTTTAATTTGTTTTTTTGAAGAATCATGCACGTAACTCTTTTGATACACGAATGCAGCAACGTTGAGATCTTTTTTTTTTTTTTTTTACCGTTACACACGTTGGGTAAAGCTACGATTATGTTTGCTTCGTGAATAAGCCGTACAAATACGAGAATCGAATTCACGATCGGTTTCGATTGTGTGTCTCGTTGACAAGTAAAAATGAGAGAGAGAGATAGAGAGAGAGAGAGAGAGAGAGAGAGAGAGAGAGAATCCTGAGAGAATTCTGAACAAAATCGATAAAATTCAACAATTTATTATCATTTTAATATAATAAACATTGAAATGGAAATAATTCCATTTCATTCTTATTCTTTTAATAATTTCTTTTTTTTTTTTTTCAATTCACACAAGGAACAATAGATTTTAATTTTCTTTCACACGTGTATGCATGTATGTATATGTGTATATTTGTGAGTAGTATGTGTGTGTGTGTGTTAGAAACAAGCCTGAAATAGAAGCTTTCCTTGATGTTTCGTAACTCAATGACACGATTAACAATTGTAATCCTACGTTACTCGTAAGACTCAATCAAACGATAGGTGCAAAAAAAAAAAGTTAACAAAAGAAGACAATAAATAAATAAATAAATAAATAAATAAATAAAATAATCGATAGATCTATAAATAAATAAAAAAAAAAAAAATCGTTTAAATCGTTTAGATTTACGATGATAATTGAGAAACATTATTAATAAAACGATAATACGATTTATTTGCATATAACATAATGTTGCAGTTGTATAATGTAAATATTCATCCCGTAATATTTTATAAACATTAATTTTTTTTCTAGTAAAAAAAAAATTACGTTTATTTCTTTATTTTTTTATTTATAATTTTCGTTACATTTTGCACATATTCAAAAAAAAAAAAAAAAAAAATCAAAAATCTAGAATGTTGTATTTGATAAATAAATAAATAAATAAATAAAAAAAATAGAAGGTAAAAGTACTTTAAATAAATTCTCGAAGGTTTTCTTCAAGTATTCACCCCCCCCCACACTCTTCTTTTTTCTTCATACACACAAACACACACATGTATCAAAAAAAAAAAATCAAATCTAGAGTGTTGTATTTGATAAATAAATAAAACAAAAACAACAACAACAACAGACAAGGAAAAGAAAAGGTGAAAATACTTGAAACGAATTCTCGAAGGTTTCTTCGAGAGGTGTCCAACCAACCACCCCCCACGCCCCCACTTTCCTCCTCCTCACACATACAGAGACACAGCAGACACACACGTTAAAATATTCGATAATGCAATACAATTGTTGTAAAACTTTCAACTTGTATTCCCTGCAATAACTCTTCTTATCGTCAAATAGTATTCGTAACACGCGCCTCTGTGTGGCCAAGGGAAACAGAGAGAGAAACAAAACAAAAAAACTTTAAAAAAAACCAAGGAACGAGAGAAGAAGAAGAAGAAGAAGAAGAAGAAGGAAAAGGGTTTGAATATTTCGAAGGTGAAGCACACACACCAACACTTTTATCGTGGCCACCTTACAAACATTGCCAAGGGGGCTTTGTGCTCTACGAAATGGAGGTCCCATGATGGTAAAAGGTATTATGATTTATGCGACTTTTGTAAGTGTCTCTACGTGATACGAAATCACCAAACATGGACGACAACACACAAAAAGAAAAGATTCCTAATATTTTTTTTCTTCTTTATTTCAATTTTTGGTTTTCTTATTTTTCTGTTTTTTTTTTGAGGGGGGGGGGGATTTTTCGTATCATTTAAATCTATTGTTGTTTATAATTATTTATTCTTAACGCTTAATCCTATATGTTTGTCTCTTTTTCTCTTCTTACTTAAGTATCGTTGCCGTTTCATCGTCGCGTTACATCGCGCCGCGTTTCATTTTTTCAAATCATCCCCCGATTCTAAAGAAGTTTTCACTTCAAAAAAGAAAGTTGATACTATCTCATTCTCTCTTAGGCTTAATCCTATATGTTTGTCTCTTTTTCACTTCTTACTTAAGTATCGCTGCCGTTTCATCGCCGTGTTACATCGCGTCACGTTTCATTTTTTCAAATCATCCCCCGATTCTAAAGAAGTTTTCACTTCAAAAAAGAAAGTTAATACTATCTCATTCTCTCTTAGGCTTAATCCTATATGTTTGTCTCTTTTTCTCTTCTTACTTAAGTATCGTTGCCGTTTCATCGCCGCGTTACATCGCGACACGTTTCATTTTTTCAAATTACTCTCATTCTAAAGAAGTTTTCACTTTAATAATACTCGAATCGCAATGCTGATATTTCTACTTATCGCTTCTTTATAATTACGACACGCCGACAGTCGAATTTTGGGCCTGGCGAGAAACTCAATTGAAACGGGCTGGACGATGAACGCGTTAAAACAAAACCTTTTCTATCTAAACACACAAATTAAAATCATTTTGATTTGTTTTTTTTTCTTTTCTTTTCCAGCATTAAATTTACTTATGCAATTA